CTCCCTCTCTCTCTCTCTCTCTCTCTCTCTCTCTCTCTCTCTCTCTCTCTCTCTCTCTCTCTCTCTCTCTCCATCTCTATCTCTATATCTATATTTTTTGTCTATATACATACATATGGTATCCCCCCTCCGGCCCCCCTCCGGTACTTACATTCTTTTTTTTGATTTGCGAGTACTATAGGCCTACACTTCTAGTGATTCTAGTGGTTCAGGCTGGTACCGGGGTGGAGAGGTGCCCGATAAGCCCTTGTGCCCGACAAGCCCTATCTATACGAGCAGTGCTAGGAGCCATATGTAAACCGTGTTAATGCAATTATGCCCTTGTGGCATGCGATGCATGTCATTTTCACTCGCGGTTTGTGATATCGGGGCCGATTCAGTTGAATCGGCCGATTCAAATGAATCGCAGGTCAGATTGAAGATTGAAGGTCCCTGAGCAACTTCTTCCAGGAATCTTCAGTCTTCAATCCGGCCTGGATTCAGTCGAATGGGTCGATTCAACTGAATCGGGTGGCCCAAACCCTTCATCGCGCAGACCTATAGACTACCCTTTAGACGAGGTTTATATACAGAAAATCAAGAGGAGCCCAAGATCTGAGAAGTCATCAACCAAAATGTAGCTTACTGAGTAAGGGGTTTCTATGAAGGAAATCAGGAATCTAGGGGAATAACCTGTAGAACAGCTACCCCTCCTTAAACAGTAAAGCAACTCATATAGAGTACCCGAGGTAATACCCTATAAATCACCCCCATATACCTCATATATACCTTATTGGACACCCTATGGCCTTTTGATTACATCTTAGAATGCTTTCCTTTACATACCCTATAGGGTACCTTATGCAACACCTTACGAAATACCCTATACAGTGCCCAATAGGATACGCTGCCGAATACTTTGTATAGCGAAGCATGCATATATGCATATATCGTATATATCAATCTAGTTGAAGGATGGCTCGTAGAGCTGGGTCTTCTTCGCGTGTAGGGGCTTCCGGGTAAGTGAGGCTTCAAATAAGGCGTCGGCTTTGACTCACAAGATCGAACCAGGAAATGACGAGATAAACTGCCACGACGATCTGACTCCACAGTGGTCTTCCAGCTGGATGTATATATATCTATATATATATATATACATAAATGTTATGTATCAAACAGAAAGTGACCCTTTGCAGAAAAGATTTTTTCGTACAAGCCCAAACTCGGACCCAGATAAGTATGTTAAGCTTCCGGCAGCCTTGTCAAGGTTGCGAAAGCTGCACACCCGAAATTTCAAACTAGTTCAACTTCTGCAGGCTTAGAATTCAGCATCAGTTTGCGCATATGCAGCTGTTATCCAGGAGCTTTTCGCATTGCATGTCGGATCACGCAGTGGCCCAGTGGGCGGTTGGGAGTTGAGGTTGTTTCATGTTATGAAGTCGTTCATGACATTGTGGGCTTCCGGAGTTCGTGTAGTCACCATTCCACGCTGATGCCGTTTCTGGAACAGGACACGCTGTCGCGAATGCACATTCCCACAGAAAACCTTCCTTGGGTCTCAGGGAGAGACCCACGGATTTTTGCTGTTTCTCGGACATAAGAAGTTCTATCTCGAATGCCCATTCCCAAGACAAGCATGCAAGTGGCACGTGTCCATTATTCATGAGCCTGCACCACAGCAAACGTTTTGCCTCAGTCCTTGTAGTTGGCAAGCCAAGCAAGTGATCCCAATTTCGAATGCTGTTAACGAGGGAAGGAAGAGCCAGCTCCGTCTTTTATCTTATCGTTCAGTTACTCGCGGATGAGTAGGTTGCCTCAACCCAATGTGTCAGTTCTTTGGTCTTCGAAGTTTATGTGGCGACCTGCAACAGATCAACCGCGCATAAACCGCGTCCTGTGGAGCCTAAACGAAGCCCTACGCCCAAAACCCTGAGACACCAAATCCTAAGACCCCAAGCCCTTAGACCCTAAACTTAACCCTAAACCCCCCTACATAGGACTTTGCCTTGCTCCCGAGTCCCTCTTCGCCAAGGCATTCGCGTATGGCACCCTTTCTGGAGGCTTTCCGACTGCACCTACAAACGGATGTCTCCCTCTTTTTGGATTCCCTCACAAATTTTGCAACCCGGAGTTCCATGAAGCGACCTGTCAAGGAGTTTGAATTTTATTGGAGCCAGATGTCTGATCAGGTGTGAAGGAAGAATTGCTCTGAACCCTAAACCCCAAGACCTGCAAGTGGCGCTGGAAGAGCTCCAGGCTTCATTGGCACCGACGGCTTCTTCGGAATCGGATTCTACACAAAGGCTGCACCAGTTCCCTTCGGGCTCGGGGCCTCCAAAACATGAGTTTAAGGATTGAAAATTCATGTTATGGAAGGTTTCGAAGTCCAAGACCCATGGCGACTTCCTGTTTTAAAGGGGAGTGCACCACATAGCATGGTAAGCTCTTCAGTAAAGCAAGCCCTGCCTTTCCTGTTTGATGTTGAGGCTTCCTCGTGGCATGTCACCGCAATCGTGCGAGAACCGGTGGCTTCCGAGTGCTCGGGGTGAAAGCTAATCCTTCGTATTGCGACATTCGCTCCCCAATTGAATCAGCCGGGCACTGCTGCACAGGATGCAAATGATGTCATCACGCCAAACAGCTGTGACGCGGATGGATGCCAGAGCACCATGCTGCTGGTCATCTGATTACTGGCGGTACCGTTCCGACGGATGACAATGACTGTTATTTATTCTTTGCAGCAGTGTGACTCTGATGGAAGTTTTGCATGTCACATCGGCTTTGCAGCGAGTAGTAGCATCACCACTGAAGTGTTCGTTGCTCTCCCGCCTCTACGCCATCAATGTCATTGCTTCGTCTCTCGCGAGAAACTTTCTTTATGTAGGGATCCTTGGATGATTTAGAGGGCATCGCAGTCTACTTCCTCAAGTTTGTCTCACCGGAAAACTGGCCAGTGCCCACTGTAGAAGCAGCAAAACAACCGCACAAAGCAGCAGCAGCAGCAGCAGTAGCGCCGGCAACAACAGCAGCGACAGAAATAGAAGCAGCTCGAAAACACAAACATGATGAAGCAGAGCATTAAAATGGAAAGGAACGGAGCAACAGCCGCCATAAATGTACCGAAGTGTAAAGCTAAACTAGTTCTGATGACAAGAACGGCTGCAGTACCGTTGACCTACAGCATGCGATAAGAAGTATGGAAGGGAAGCGAAATGGCCACGATCGTGACATCGTCGCAGCAGTTGCATTTTGATCCTGAAAGATCGCTGTTGAAATCTGCTGAATCTGGAATCCTGAGTAAATCCGGCGCCAACCGCAGAGCCCATAGCTCCAACGTCGCAGTGCTCTGATTCGACCTACTGGCCCAGAGCCGGATATACCCTGAACATCCCTGAACCCTTGAGGTCCTCGAAGCCCCCGCATCTGGCGATCAATTCCTGGAGGAAGCTCCTGTAGAAGATGAAGCAAATTGAACTAAAGCCCCACGTCCCTCCTGAGGCTCAGCTGGTTCTTCCAGTGGCTTGGGCACCCCTGTTGTACGGGGTTTCGTGTACTTGCAGGAGCTGTGGAGTGGAGGTTTGCAGCTGTCCGGACTTTTATGTTCTGCTTCCAAGATGTGAGATGTGACGTGGCTTTACACGCACGGGTCTGCGATGACTGGGGATGCAGGTCTGAGTGCGGGAAGTTTCCACGATTGGCTCTGCTGTTTCGGGATTTTGTTGCTACCACACCTCTTTCTACTGATGTTGCTAGTCCTGTGGTTAGTGCTCTGCCCCGGTCGATGCGCTTCGTCTTTGAGGGTTGATCGGCTTGTTTCTGTGTTTCAGTACTTCGTGTTTTGTTTGTCGCACTTCCGATTGGCGTGCGTTCAAGTCGCAGTACTGGTAGTGGTGGCAATGCGGCCACTACCAAACACGGTCAATACTCTGCTGCCGCCGCTCCTGCTACTCCTATTGACTCCTCCTACTGCAACTACTACTGCTGCTACTACTACTGCTACGAAGACGACAACAATAGCAATTACTACACTCACACAAACACCTACAGCTGCCAACGGCAAACCAGGCAGTCAGAAGAGTCAAAGTGAATGCCACAAGGTGGGCATTTTGCACCGCCGGTGCAACCATCGTCAGCGGTGGTGTGGCAGAGCGTGTGAAGAGCCTTAGCTGGTTTTGGTAACAATCAGTGACCAGGAATCGTGAGTAGTACAGGAAGCCTTGAATAGCCCAATGCATGCAAGCGCATTGTGCCATGCAATGCTAGTCTGTGTGCCTGCGTTCGGTGTTTTTAGCCGGTTCTTTTGCTTGCTATGATCGATCACGTTGTAGTTGAGCTCCCAGTCAGAAGCCCTGAAGTCCCCAGGCGCCCTGCTGAATCCCGAAACTGCTCATGCACAAGCCCCGAAAGGTTCACCAAAGGTTGAGCCATTGTTTGAGATTCTTGCACCTGGGGTAGAATAGACCCCACTCAAATCCTTCAACACAAGACTCAAGCCCTCCAGCCAGTTCCTGAAACCATGCATGCCCACAAAGCGCCAAAGCCAGCAGTCCGGCTGCTGCAAAGTAGCCGAGCAAAGGAGCCCTACCTATGCAGCGTATGCCTTCGGTGCCTTGGACGGTTCAACTCGGCCAACGAATGGAGTCTACTGCTTTCAAGACTGCCGAACTGCTTCGTTTGCACAGAGGCGCCCGGCACAGTCGCTTCTGTTTTGTCGACAGTACCCTTTCTTTTCCCTAGGCATGCGATTTGCGCGCACGATGAAGATGCTGATGATGGTCATGATGGGCACCATCACTGAGAACGATGATGCTGCTAGTGATCTCTTGATGGTGCTGTTATCGTCCTTCTCGGATTCCCAGGATCCCGAGCCCCGAGCCTCGAGCCCGGGCCAGTCCCTCCGCAGTAGAACACAGATAGCAGAGTACGAGTAAGGCGATGAACGGTGTACTTGCGTGCATTGTTGCTGCTTCGTGTTCGTTTGTGTGCTTGATGACTGCGCTACCGCAATATGTATCCAAGTCATGACGAGCTTCATCTACCCGGTGGTAGTGGCCTGGACATGGAATTACGGCTGGCTGGACACCATCTTCGATGTGGGTGGCGCGAACGGAATTTATCAGCAGAAGTTCGAGGGCACTGCGTGTCTGCTCTCTTTAGTAATCTCTCGCTGTTGGACTTTGGTCCGGTGGGAATTGCAGGAACCAAAGTTTGGACGTAGGCGAAACACAAGAGAAGAGACAACTGCGATCAGTCTTTTGAGGCCCAGTGTGCACTTGACATTGAAATCGTAGCTTCAAGTCGCAGCTTGCAGCTCGACCTGTTGCTGTTTCAAGGTTGTTAGAGCTCTCAGAAGTGATATCTGTTCGCAATCTTCGACTTGTTCTGAGCTCTATGAGACTGAACACACGCATTATTCACATGTGAAGTATGCCCATGGCTCGGGTTTTGTGGGATATTGATTCAAACGGTAAGGCCTTTGGTTGCTTGCAGTCCCCTATGGCCCCCCTGTGTGCTGCATCTGAAGCCGCACGTCGACTTTGGGGTGTTCTCTGGGGTTGGTCTTCAATGTCATCTGCAACGAGACACACCAAGAGGAACACACAAGACGCAACAGGACCACGTGTCAGCAAGTTCTGACATAGCCCCCAACGTATAAAATTTCTGCTACCAGATCGCTAACAGGTTACATAGCCTCGTGTCAGGCTATGAGCAGCGCACACAATCCTAAGGCAACAGGGTTGTAGGGCGGGGTTCTGTCTTTCCTTTTCGTGTGGGATTCGTGCTGCTACTAACCCTGTGTCAGGTTGTCAGCAGCCTCGTCAATACTAAGGCTACATGGATTTTGCTGGCAGCGGCATTGTCCACCTGACTGGAGGTGGGGCACTGTAAGGCACACTGTAAGGTTAGGAAAGTTTCGGTATCTTGTTATAGGACATTGGGGCTGCGCAGTGTCAGTATGACCTGTACTGCCCATGAACAGCTTGGCCTTGACTTGTTAACTTGGGTGGTCTGGAGAGGGTTTCAAGCTGGGAGCACACAGCAAAATTCAATATTGCCTTCCGAAGCGACCGATGGGGTAGAGGGTCAAGGTGCTGGATCTGGATTCGGGCAATTCTTGGATCTGCCTTGCAGGGTTCGACCTAATCTGGATCCTTCGTCTATCATGGAACAAGTTGTTCACCCTGTCTGTATGAGGGAGGGAATAACCGGCTAGTCATGGCATGTAGTTCGGGGATTTTTCAGTCAATGTTCTCCACTAAAGCCACCTGGGCATGTAATTCGCCCAAAAGCCGTGCTTGGGAGAGGGATTCCTCATCCTGATAATGCTTTCATGGCTTTTGACCATGCACCCTGAGGCGAATCTCACAACGCTGAATGCAAACCCCCCGTCCCATCCCCTGACACCCAGCTGATATGTTAGAGCCATTCCCCAGAAGCCAAGTAACTGCCGGTGAAAGCTCCGCTAAATTATAGGCGCAAACTCATAAGGCTAGCACAACATCCACACCTGCATCCTTAATTCGGAGACCTCGAATACAAGTTGTAGTGTAGTATATTACGCTAGAATTTACTTTCCTGTACTGTCATAGTCCATGCTATGCTTTACTATACTACCCAACGCAGCGTTCTTTTCTAAAGCCCTAAAAAAAGTCACCCTCTCAGGTGTGAGTGCCCTGGCTGGAACCATCGTCCTCGGTCCTCGCACGGGACGCTTCGTCAACCCGGAGGACTCGGTTTATCCTTGTTCTCATGTTCGTTTATATGGGTGGTTGTCAAAATTATGGTCCCTTTTTGGGTCCCTAATATAGTACAGCACCTATTATTTAGGGTGCCCAAAACGGGACCCTAGTTTTGACAACCATCCATATGATGCTTCAGACCGTCAAGAGCCTTCTTCTAAGCCCTTATGAAGATCCCTTGTTGACAGATCTGGTTTAGAGGCTTCAGAGAGAGAGAGAGAGAGAGAGCTAGAGAGCGCGCGGTGTAGGGGGTCAAACCCCTACACCATAGCCCTGGCGAAAGAAAGAGAGATCGGAGCATCATGCTTGTAAGAGGGTAGAATCTTCCATGACGAATTCATGCCTGAGTTTGGCTCTCAAGACTTCTTTCCAGTGATGGCGCTGTCTCAGTGGTAATCACAAACAGCCCGAAACCCACCAAGTCCATGTCTTGCCAAAGTACCCTGGCCAGGCCTCGACTTTAAATTTTGGGGGATGGCTTCCAGGTTGACGTTTTAAAGACCCAAGGGCATTCGTCCTGGGATCGTGTCAGGAGTTCGAGCCTCACAATTTGCCCTTGGTGGTGTTGGGCACTTTCGCGCTGTGGTCTCTGGGATGCATTCGCAAGTGTATCTGGCTGATCTGTCCTTCAAGGGGGCTTGGGCCTCGGGCCCTAAACTCTTTAAATCACACCAAAACCCTGAAGCCGGAAGAAGGGTCGGAGAGGTTCGGCTCAGGTGCCAGAGCATGCAGCATCAGTGCGCTGGTGCGCTAGCTACTTCTTACTTGCTGTAGCATAGTTCATTGGCTCACAGCTCATGATCTTGCCATAGATGCAAGTGGATCTGAGCATAAACACGTTCGAGAGTCTGACATTCTGAAACTGCATGGAGTGTCACTGAAGTCTCGGTCAGGTTCGGCTGGTATGGCTTCAACCCGGGCTCCACCCTCGGCATGCACACTGGCGATACCGGTGCAATGGCCGCTCAGGTGCGCGCTTTGTTAGTGTCAGGACGGAGGTGTTGGTGTTTTAGGGCTGCAGGGTTCATCATCGACACTGCAGTCGCCGTGATTGCCAGGCCGGTATAGCATCGGACAGCGCTCGGTATAATGCTTTTGCTGGGGAGTTGGAGCTTAACACCAACACGGCGGACGAAGAACATCTAACAAGTGGACAAGTCAGGTCGGGTAAAGTAGAGGGACGAGAAACAGGACTGATTCGAATCAATTCGTTGCAGTGAATGATGAAAACATGAGTAGGGGTTGACATGTGCGAGGCCGTCGAGGTGTACCATGTGCTTCACCAGCTTGCAGCTATCGGAGTTTCATTCTTTTGGGGGCTACTGCATTGTCGCAGTCTTGGTCCGATCCTTCAAAGTCGAAGAGAAAGAGCTCGCCGCAGGTGGCCATGAACACGACCATCTCAGCGGCTACTGGTGGCCTGACGGTTCCTCGCCTGTCGAGCTTAGCGGCCTGGTTTGTAGGATCGAACTCAGAGCAATTCCGATGTGGCCTTGGTTTTTGCTGCGCCTGGACCCCGAAGTCCCAAAATATATTGAACACCCTTCAGGCAACAGCTTGCTTCCGAAAGTCCCCTAAACGTTCGACATTCACCCGCAAGTTTCAGAAATTGAGTGGCGCCGTGGCAATTGCTCGAATCGTTTCGACAAGACACAGGTCCAAAACTTAGACACTCCAAGCCTGAAGTTCTGAGGTTTCAATCCCTCGAAGAGCATCCTTAAACCCAAACTCTCCAAGCCAGACCCCTACATAAACCCTGAGCCGTGGATCTGAAGCCTTGAATTTCACAAATCAAAGCCCACACAGCCCAGGTCTTCATGCTCCGCTTTGGTATCTACAAGAAGCATCGCGGTCTGCAGTTCGGGAGTTTACGGATTCCAACGATGGACGGCTGCTTACCGCACCCAAGTGTCCATGATTCCTGAATCGAGAAGGTCACGCCCGTCCCCATAGTTTTCAGGGAACACAATCAAATCGTAAATGCAGGGAGGCATGGAGTCCTAGCATGACCCGTTACACGGAGATCGAGACATCATGTAAGGCCTCCCGTTGCGTCGCGAAGCAAGTAACTCGTGTCAACTTCTCCACGGTAACCCCCTCTCCCCAATCAGTCTGAATGGGGCCCCAGAAAATGGGGACGTCTTCCCAGCATCGACGGATGAAAGAGAACAGATCTCAACCAGCCCAGAGACGAGGATCTCAAACCCAGCGCCGAGCATGGCCAGTGTCACAGTGTGACGTAGTCGCGACACAAATCCCATGAGATGACCGCTTCGGATTTGAATGGAAGGATCATCGCCACTCCTATCCTTGATACGGCGATTGCTACGGGATTACGACTGAGCCCAGCCTGGGGTCGCTAAGTGACTCATCAGACAGGACGCTTCCCAAGCTTCTGTTGAGGAACATAAAGTCAAGCCATCTGCTCTGCTGCTCTGACGTGCCAAGGTACGATGTCGGCGGCCTGTGTTACTCGGACCCTTTGGGCTGAGGCTATAGGAATCTACCGGTTGGGGTGGGCCCAGAAGTTCAGTCAAGAATTCTCGGAATCCTGGCCTAATAACAATTCCTTGTCTCCATTGGTGATAGCAGTCGCAGGCGTACTTTGGCTTTCTGCAGGGGGCTGTCCTGTGAGGCTCAGTCCTCACCAACTTGGTTTGGAGTTCAGGAGCCCAAATGGCTGAACAGGGCAGTAGCACGGTCTGAGGAAGTTGAAGGCGCAAATTGAAATCAAACGCTTCGGATAGTCAGGGACTTCAGGGCGGACCGGTAGTGAAGCTGGGCAATGTGAAGTTCCCTTGACTTGCCGACCACTCCCTCGGGTTGCTTCGGAGGAAAATCTGCTTGGACGAGGCACCTGCCGGCAGAAACTCAGCGTCACCAGTCAGATCTCGAAACTGATCCCTCAAAACTAAGCATGCGAATCCAGGTCCGAGCGGAACCTTGTCAGTACAACGCACACCCAAAAGGCTTAAAGGCCCCAAAGCCGGTAGCCTGAAAGCCCCAACCCCCAATCATCTTTACGCGCTTCCCTAGGCAACGGCATCCTCGCTGGCCTCGTCTCCATCACGGCCCCTTGCGGCAGCCTATCTGGAGCTTCGATCTTCTTACGGTAGTACAAGGGCCCCTGGAATGCCAGTAGTTCGGTCTATTCCGTTGAAACAACAAAAATTAGGGTTGGAAAGGTAAGCTTCACAGACGTTCTGGTGCAATGCAGGAATCGGAATAACTAGAAATAGCCTATTGTTCCATTCTTGTGACGGCCCATATGTGGGTTCCGCGCAGCATCCTTGGAAAAGGCAACGTGGAGTGCGGCAGCGCCTTTGCCATTGGCTTCATCGGAGCCCTCGTCTACCAGGCCGTCCACTGGGTCGGCAAAGCTGTCCTGCATGCCCTTCTTCATGACAAGACGAAGGGAATCCGGGATGCGATGTGGATTTCCGACAGGGGTTTTGGGAACAGCAAAGCATTAGCTCTATGCCTCTGACAGCCCGTGACTCCCTAGAAAAACTGAGGGCAACAAGCGCCAACATAAACACGCATGTCGAACCGAGATCACGCAGAATGTCCAAACTAATTTCGGACAGAAATGTCTGGCTCAGGGGGCCTCTATGTTGCTCCAGAAGTTGAAGATTGACGATCCGGCTCTCTGGCTGGATTGGGTTCAGCTCGCTCCTGCTGGGAGCTAAATTTGAGGTTCTGGGGTTCGTGTAGATCATATGCATGAGTCTTACCGATTTGGGTTTTGGACCCTTTTATTGGGGTGCTCACGTTCTGGTGCGGATCACGCGTAGCCTCGTGGCAAAGAGCGGAGAGTTGTCTATTAGCCGCAGATGGGCCTCTTGTTAAACCAAACGAAACTATTGTGTAGGTAGTCCGTAGCAATGTTCGCAATCAGGGTTTAAAGGCTGCCCAGCATTCAAGCACAAGGGATGCAGCATGCCATGCTCGAGTAGAAAGGACTTGAAGGCAGTCTTCGGTTTTGATTGATGAGATCATGCACATGATTTGCACCGGATGCATGAGGATGTCAGGAGTCCAGCCGAGACTGTTGCGTCTGACCCTGCGGGGACTGTACAGCAATATCAGACACCGTGTTTGAAATCACACTACTAACTACTGCTGGTAGCCAGAATTCCGATAACCCACAGAATCATGGCGTGCAGAGCTGATACTCCGAACTGGGTCCTGGGCGGGGCACAACGAAGCCATCCAGCATTTATTTACAGTTCTGAATCTGAACCGTTTTATACAGTTACTAGAAAGCAAGTACATGTTCATAGATAGATCGATAGTTAGATAGACAGATGCATAGGTATGAGCACTTCTTTGTTTGCACACATGCACACATCAAAACACAGGCTCAGGCCACCAGCACTGAATCGACGCCAGGTGGATGCGAGCCCAGTTCACGGCTTCTGCGGCGTATGGGGGTTGCTCGCAGCAGGCTCCTGCCAGGGCGGCTAAGTGGGGGGCGGGGAGAGGTTGAGCCCCACGCCTGCTCGAAATTTGGCATCCATGTAAGCACTCCAGCAAGTGCTGCAATGGCCTGCACCCGAATAAGTCTTGCTTCAGCCACTGAACGTCTTACCGCAAGTAACAGGTTGGATTCAATAGAGCACCCCACCTGTGTGTCGTAGAAGTAGTGCATGCATCAACTGGCACTCATGGCTACCAACCCGATTGTTGTACAAGAGCTGGCATGACTTCATCCTGCTTGTCCGAATGTACTTACATTGCTTCTTGACATCATGTTGCACCGCAGCAGAGTTCAAGCCCGTACTAATGAGCTTGCCCCGCTGGCTCGGTCGACTAACGCCAAAAAGGCCATCAAAGCAGCTACATGGTGCTCACATGTTACTTATACTTTGTGCTCCGACTCCGCAGTCTGGCACAAAGTCGCATGCTCTTCGGCTTTCTCAGTAGATGGCGTGCTGTCTTGCATCCCCACAGAAGATCCTTTATGCAGGCAAGTCCTGTACAGATGCGACAGCTGGTCAATTTAGAGGCCAGCTAAAGAGTCAAGCATGAAACCCTAAAACAAAACCTGCGTGCTGCTCCTGTGCACCCATCCTTGTCCTTGTGGAGGCCTTTTTGACTGGGGGAAGGGCTTCGACCATTACCATGCCTGGAATGGATTCAGCTGCAAGCCGGGGACCCGAGTGATGGGCTTGACGTGTTCATGTTTAGGGTGTCGCACTGGGGCTTTGGGGATTCCAGGATGTGGTGTATAAACTTGTGGCGTATCACTTGGGCAGATCTCGTGCTTTACGCTTGGGTTGGGCTAGAGTTTGCATAAGACGTGGACCGTCGGTTGAGGAACTCATGGATTCATAGGGTCCGGATCCAAGAATCTACTGGTCGAAGGGTATAATTGTTGGCACATGGCTTACTATTGTGGAGTTTAGCTTCGAGAACGAAGGGCTGACGGCATACAGCGATCATCATCAGCTAGCTAGAAAGAGGCAGCAGTTCGCACCCTGCAGATGATGAGACACCGGCGTAAACGCAGAAGGCCGCTAAAACAAGCGCATACAACCAAAAGCCAACCCTAACCCTCTCAGAATACTAAGCTCCTGAGCCCTGAACCGCTACCACCTTGCGTGGAATACATCCCTAAAGTACGCTAGAGCTTCCAATCCTCAAGCCGAGGACCGTCAGCGACACCGACTCGAGCTGCATGACTGGCATCGGAGGCCGAGCTATTGCTGCACAGGCGATTATGGCAGCTTGGACTACCAGAGAGGGAGCTGCAGTCCTTCCGAGTTTGGGAGTGAAGGCTAGTTTCAGGTTTCGTCACTTTGGATTTGAAGCCTCGCTTCAGCCTTGCAGTCAATACCTTCATTGCTTGGGCCTTTGTGAAGACATCGTTCCAGCAACGATGTGAAAAGCCCGCTGTGATTGAGAGATGTTTGAGCCTTGCACGATCTTGGACTTGTAGCCCTCAACACTGGAGGCATTGCAGTCAGCCAACCGCAAAGGACCTATGTAAACCTGGAGCTCCGCATGAGCAGCGGAGCTCCAAACCTGCGAACTTAGAGCTCCTAAAAAACGATCCCCAGCCCGACAAAGCAAACCTGCTTCCCCTTAAAAGGGAAAGCGGAAGCCCGAAAAGAGTTTACATTCGTCGTGATAAACAAATCCTAAACCCCAAGACCCCTAAACCCCTCAGAAACTGGCAAGCCCACCAAGGCACTTGTGATCATCGCTTGGGCCGGAACTCTTTCCGGCCTTGCCTTCTTTGCTTTGAAGTGCCTTTGTCTCATGTGCTTCGGGGGGCCTTGAAGGGTGATCGTCTCCTAAAGCTTGAATATAGTAAAGGGACCTGACTGATTTGATCAAGTTCGGGTAGAGTCGACTTTTTTCATGCAGGGCTCCACAAGGGGACATTCTTGCTGGTGACTCCGACCTCTGGTATGCTTTGACCCTGCAGTCCATTCACCCACATATTATCTAATTCTCTTCGTACTTTCACGAGAACTGCGACTGACAGATTCGGGCCAACCTCGGGCAATTTCCGAACCCTTGATATACGACCTTCCGAGCCAAGGATGACAGGCAAGCTGCGCATTGACGAAGAAACGGAGGAGGTTGGAATCTGAGTTGCCGCAGTGCGGGTGCGCGGTTGAGGCATGGAAACCGAACTTCATATTGAAGGTCCAAGAGCAGCCGCAGTGCACATGGGCAACGGCACTGCCGTCATGGAGGCAAGTGGTGCGTCGTAGAAGACTCCTCCCGGACTTAGGCCGGCATGGATCTGAAGCAGCACTCTCCTCCGAAGGCCTATGCGATTGGCCAGGCAGCTCGGGTCAAGCGGTGCTTTGCAGACTTGGGATTGGCTTGTCTCCACAATCTCCATTTTGAGCAGCAGCTTCCATATCAGAAGCAAAACCAATGCAGTTGGCATATTGCTACCCATCCTGGGAATGCTGGGGCAAACCGGAGTTCATAGGTAATGAAACAGCTGTTTGTTTCAGGCTGAGTTGTTCAGGCATGGACAGGGGTGTCTTGATGTTTTGAAGCCACCGCGTGATCGATCTTGCTGTTTCAACCTGGCGGAAACATCCCAAGTGATCGTGCTTGTAGCTGTGGTCCCCAAGCGCCAGAAAGCGAGTCCACACAAGACCTGCTTGCCCAGATCTTGTTACCAGGCATATTCGATAAGGACAGCCCCTTGTGAATGCCAAGCTTCATCGCGCATGCCCCAACCTAATTAATCCAGTGAGCTCCAGAGCGCGCAGGCTCCACCCAAGGAGAAGCAACTGGAGCAGGGCAAGGAAGAGCTCGAGAAGGTCATGACAGGACGCTCAGCTTGAGAAAGTGCTTGTTTGCCACTGTGAATATACCCTGGGTATGATGGCGTGATCGGAAGATGGTCTTGGACTGTCACGGGCGGTCGAAGCTTTGCCTCTTGTCTTTTCCCACTTGCATTCGAAGACGGAGCGGGCTGGCACCATGGGCGGCAGTGATTGCCTCCGCCCCCCAGATCAGAACTGTCCGAAATGCAGCAGGTGGATGCTTGAGAAGCGTGGGTTTCGAGTTCAGATCATTTAGTTCTGGATTCGGACAGCATTACTTCATAAGTCAGCCGCTGTTCGCAGCTCTGCGCGAAAAGCCAAGGAAAGACCGTGGCCTTTTAGCTGCATTCGAGTTCATGCCAGAAAGATCATAACAGCTGCCTTGCCTCCAGCAATATGTTCATTCCGGATGGGATGTGCAGCCTAATTCCGGCGCAACTACGTCTGGGGTTGTAGGGGTCTGCCGACTGTTATTCAATACTTCGAGTTCTTGGTAGGCTGGGGTCTGGACAAGACACCGATCTGGACAAAGCCTGCCTGTTCAGGTGCGTAATTGGGGCAACATTGAAGGCGAAGAACACATTGGCCTTCTCCCCCAGTCCTGAAACCCAGGAAGAGAAACATGATACCTATTGTATATATACACACATCAATATATCATTTATATGTAGGAGCGTGTGTATATGTATGTATGCATACATAGAGAGAGAAAGAGGGTGTCTCTGTGTGTGTGTAGATATTTATGCATTACATACAAACGAAACCTACAATCCAAGTCGTGACTCGTAATCGGCGTAGGCCTACGCTTAGAGTCCAGAATTTGCGGCCCTTGATTCCAGCTAGACAACGAGAGGACCCAGTGCCCTCACAGGACGATGGTTCGTGGTTGAGGACGGTTTCGGAGCGCTTAGATCCTGAAACCCACAATCTCTAAAGCCCCAAACCCTGAATCCCTGAAGCCTAAACCCTAAACCCCTATGAAGCCCTTGAACCCGCAGACCGAGGTCTTCAACGATTATTCCTGGAGCCATAGCGACTCTCAGGAGAGCATCGAGAAGAAGATGCAGCAGGCCCCAAGTTTGGGTTTGGGGATTTAGATTTAGGATTGGGGTTTAGGTAGGGTTTATGGGTTCAGGGTTCAGGATGACGGTTTAGGTAGGGTTTAGTCTAAAATCACTACCCTTCCCCTGAGCAGCGTGCCTTGCTCTTTTCGCAAAGCACATCGACGCTTGTGCCTTCGGACGGCGACCACGGTACCTGGCGTGCGGATCTTCAGATTCACACGCCTTCAAAATCTCTATCCTCTCTGAAGGGAAGTTTTAAAGGCTCTTTCAGAGCCTTCCAGAAATTCTCTGCCCGGAGGGGCTTCGTCATGATATCCGCAAGTTGAAGCTGGGTGGGAACCCATGACAGCTTTCCTCCGAGCTTCAAATCACACCGTATGGCTGCCAGATCTATGGCGAGCCGGCGATCAGAAGGAACTCTGGGTAAACCTAAGACTACGGCAGTCACTCATGAATCGGGTCTTGATGGGGCTGTTCTTGGGGCGCACAAGGACTCCGGCCAGCAGCGTAGCCATAAAGCTCTGGATGTACTGCGCATTCTCGATTCCGCTAGCACAGGCCATAGTCTCTGCCGCAAAAGTAGAGCGACACACCCGATCACAGGCCCAGCTCCGCCAGTCGAGAAGGCTGGTGTTGCAGCTGTCTCCATCCAAGATCTTAGAGTCGGCGAGGAGGTAGATGCCACCGAGCTGCGAAGCTATCCTCGAATTTCCCCGCTTGGGCTTCCGGTCCTTTGAGGCGAAGGGCCCCTCTCTCATCGTTCCGCAGATGTCCTCCTCGGGCGTCAGCTGGTAGTACGGGTCATCAGGGTCCTGAGGTGCATTTGCCCAGGCGGCATCGTGGTAGGTCAGCAGCACGCAGTTCTCGAGGTCCACTGGTGTCAGGTGGACTCCACATGTTCGGTACTGCTTCGCCTTCCTCGAGAGGGAATTGGTGAAGCGGACGTCCCCGATGGTCGGCTCCCGCTGAAGCTGTTGAGCCATTGAGACTCCGGTCTGTAGGTCCGGCCGGGTCTGTCCAGCAATCCACGACAGAGCCCCGATCAGGCTTCTGTTGTCTGCCCTCTGTTCCGCACTTGCGGGGTATTCGTCACTCGCCGCAGGCTCTATCTCCACCTCGAACAGTCGTGTGTCCGCGTAGCTCTCCTGGGTGATCGTCACTCCGTTCTCGTCGATCGTAAAGGTGGAGCCCATGTACTCGAAGCTGTCGTCTTCCCAGTCATCAACTGGAAAGGCTTTGGAGAGTGCGTCCTTGAGCTGACGATTCAGCTCCCGATCTCCAACCATCAAGAGGTCGTCGACGTGAACGGCCACGTACGCCTCAGGGGCACCAGAGTTCCCATCGAGGTCCTTCACCTTGAACTGGAAGATGCACGGATCGAGGGGGCACTGGTCAAAGTATCCGCGTCGGCCATCAGAGAGTGAAATGTCGAGCGCGAGGATCGTGCCCTGCAGCTTCTCGTACCAGGCATTCGGGGAGTCGACCAGCCCGAATACTCCTTTGGTGAGCTGCACGATCTGATCAGGGTGAAGGTCACCTAGTCCTCCACGGGGCTGGCGAATGTACAGCTCTCGCTTGAGCTCGTTGCCGTTCAGAAAGGCGCAGGTAATATCACCGGCGCTGGCACTCCATCCTCTTTGCCTTCGCGAAGCAAGGATCTGACAAAGCAGTAGCACTCCTTGACGGGAAACTGTCGGAGCGCTTGTAGTCAATCCGGAAGTGATATCCGGATCGACATGTCCTCCGATGACCAGTCTCGCCTTGCATTTCCAGTCCAGGTCCGGGTTGGTCTTTCTTTTGGCCCAGTGTTTATCGCGGTATGCAAACCGGCTTGGCAACACCCTCTCTGGTTTCTCGGCCAAGATCTTCTTGCTGGTCTCCACGTCGACTGGCTTCATTGCACCATGTTCCAAATGCTCGCTCCACTGCTTGTCCTCTGCGCGGCGAAAATCGGCGTGTTTCTCGGGAGGTATGCAGTGCCACGGCAACTCTCGTTCGAGCTGTTTCTCACGGCCTCGTGCCGTGGTAGCCCGCTTGAGCATGTTCACGTGCTCGGGCCCCTTCTGTCTCATCCTCTTTGGTGGTCCCCTTGACGGGAGTTGGGGAGGATCTTCACGAACACTCCTCATGGTAGTGTCCTCGTCCTCGCCCGGGAGCTCGACCTCGTCCTCGCCCGGGAGCTCGATCTCGTCGTCAAACACAGAAGTCTCATCGAGGATGTCCAACATTTCGTCCGGGACGTAGTCATCTCCAGGACGTTCAGGACTCTCATACATCTCCTCATCGTCGGGGTCGAACTCGGCGAGGCGTTGGAGGTCGTCCTTGGTGGTCTTCAGAATGAAGGCGTTCCCAGTCTCCTCATTTGTGGCCCGTCTGGTGTGTTCGGGCGCTACCAGGTGGCACCTCCCTCCGAAGGAGATCCAGAGGTTCTGGTGCTCGTGCCCCACAACAGTGCCTGGCCCCTTCCAAGACCAGTCCTTCGTGTTCTTGGGCTTCCGCAGAAAGAAGACAAGGTCGCCAGGGTGTAGTTCCTCTCCAGCAACACGAGATCGCTGAAGGAGGGCTCGGCGAAGTTTGGCATCACCTTGGGCCCGAAAGTAGGCCCCCTTGGCTGCCAGACGAATCGCTTGCTCCCTGAAGGTCGTGGTTGATCAAGTGTTCCTGTTGTTCCCCGTCCTTCTCGTCAAGCAAGTCGCCGGGGATGTAGGGGTCCCGGCCAAAGACGGCCTGTGCCGGTGAATATCCGCTGATCCGGCGAAGCTGGTTCTTGGCATCGTTGACCGCGGCGATCCCCATGGGAACATCTTCTTCTCTCAAGCTAAGGTCATCACAGACCCTCTTCCAGATGGCCTTCCAAAGACCCCCATGTCGTTCGGTGGCACCGAGTTGCCAGTGAGCTTGCCCAGCGATCGATCGTAGGTGACATCCATGCCAGGAGCTGTAGCGTGCGAGTCCAGCCTGAAGGCCGGACTCCAGGTCGAGGGCAATGGTGCCCGGGGCCCCGAAAGTCCTTGTCCAGACTTCGCAGAACGTCTGCTCCATCGCCTCGGTGCTATGTTCTCTGAGCTCCCCGACCACGTGGAAAGAGGTTCCATGGTCGAAGACTGAAAGCATCTCGACCCGCCGACCCGTAGAATCCACCACCGAGAAAACATCGACTCCCACGACCTGATTGAAGGAAAGTAGGCTCGGCAGTGTAGCGGGTCGTGCGCTCGCGGCTGTGGTACATCTCTTACAGGTCTCGCAGCTCAGACGCTTTGAGGCTTGTATGACTTCAGGCCCCGCGCCGGCCAAGCGAAGATGTCGAGTAAGATCATGTTGTGACGGGTGGCCGAGATTGGCATGAAGACGACGTAGAGCAGAGGCCACTTCCGGTTTGACTCGGGGTTCTCCAGGGAACGAGATAGCAGAAGCCCCTCGGGGTTCCTTTTCCGCGGGTGGCGGACTCTCGCCACTCGTCTGCGCCATGTAGACGTTGATCGTGCCCGGGTAGATAGACTCAGTGGCTTCGTTCCAGTCCGCACGGGTGCTGTTGAACTCGACCGTCTTCAGTCCCGCTTCCTCGTACAAGGTCGCTGTAGGATCTTGTAGAAGACGTACTCCGAACCCAGTCCTCCAGAAGTTGCCGTCGGGGGCCGCGTCCACCACGACTCGGCGACTCGCGTCGAGCTGCTCCTGGATGTAGTCGCTGACAGCGTCTTCACAAAGGTCAACAGCGTCTCCATGGATCCACAACGTGCTCGGGCGCAGAGTCCGAATAAGCTCTAGGCCGCGTGTGCGGCCTCCTTCTCGCAGGATGTAGGCCTGGTCCAGCGGTTCCGTTGCCAGGTAGTCAGCATCCACGGCTTCCTCGGTCCTCGTAGTGCCTCCCACTTCACATAGAGCAACGCCATCAGGTCCTCCGGGAGTGGGTAGATGCGCCTCGAGGAAGGAGCTAGCCGCCATGATGGACCAGGTGGCCAGTGCCCCCAAACGTTTGGAAGTACGGTGGATTAGTTTCCTGGCGCTCCGCTTAGCGGGTCTTCCGGCTGGTGGCCGATCATCAAGTAGCGGAGGTCGCTTGCGAAGATCCGGGAGCACCATCCCCAGGCGGCGTAGTAGTTCCCGTCCGTTGCGATCAAGAGCAGCAATTCCCCGTGAAGCGAAGAAGGTCAAACACCACCTTGTGCCACTCCATGGTTGAGTGGCGTGTCGTATCTTCGGGTCGAAGCTCACGATCCGTCGCTGGGTGGAGGTGAGTCTACCCGGCCGTTCCTTGCCATCGCTTCCTTGCCTCCACACGTAGGTCTCGTCGGGGGTCCGCTCGGCCTCCTTGACTTCCATCCACAGCTCACCGCCGTTGAACTCACCGAAGCTGGTGGTGATGTTCGGGTAGCCAGGGAGGTTGTGGTTGTCAGAGTGTACGCCATGGCTAACATTCTCTGTCAACATGAAGCTGGTCCACGAAGCGACTCCATGGTGGCTCGCCCATCCGCTGAGGTACTTGACGAACCAAGGGAACACGACCACATTGTTGGTGATGCCAGCCATCTTTCCGTGAGTCCAGACTCCGCCGACAAGCCCTCGTCGTCCGGCGCTGCCTTCTGCACTTTGTCGGAGATTTACCCGAGCATCCTCCGGAAGGAGCGTGGCGATGCGGAAGAGGGTCTGGTAGGTGAAGTCGTTGTTCGCCGCGGCAGCGTAGGAGGCCAGCTCAACCGCAAGGTCGTGGTTGGGCCGTGGAAGCCCCGCAGTGTTCATCTCCTCGGCGGTCTCGTCCGTCACGAAGGCCTCGCACATCACCTCGTTGATCTCGAGCGTGTCGTAGTAGTCCTTCTCCCTTTGCCCATCAACGCACTCAATGCAGTCCCGGTAGTCACCTTCAGTCTCGCTCCTCATTGGTGCTTCGGCGGTAGATGGTGGCGATCCCTCAACAAAGCTAGGCGCATCTCCAGGGCTCTGATTTCCTCGAGGGCCTGGGCATCCGCTTGGTCCGCATCGAGGTCCATGGTCGCCTGGTCTGGTTGCGCCGGGCGTGTCCTCCTTTTGGGCTCCGAGGTCGCCTTCGGTTTCACATCCCGTGGTAGGAGTAGTCCTTGACTCCTCGCTGGTCTTGGGTCCGCGTACCCCCCTTTCATCGGGAGTCCGGTCGCACTCTTCCTCGTAGCACTCGAAGAAGACTCCGTCCCCTCGGTCACCACCTCCCAATTGCTCTCCTCTTCCGGGTTGTAGGGGACCACGGCTGTGGTCTCCGGGTCCGCATAGTAGGACTTGGCCTGCGCATGCGTCATCTTGTTCTCGTCCTGCTCGGCCCACATTGCGAACATCCTCAGGTCGTCCGAAGCATTGGTGTTGCGACGGATCTCTTCCTGGGCCCACTTCCGGTACCCCATCGGGACCTCCTCGTACAGGTAGCCCTTGTAGCGGCCGAAGGTCATGATGTGCTCGCTCTTGTCCTCGGTGGAGTCCCGAATCATGCGCATGATGAGGCCGCGGTTCGTGTTGTCCGGGAGCACGATGTTGAGGTTCGCGGCCGTCTTCTTCAGGTCGTCGAGGGTCATGCTGCTGAGCCCCTTGGGTACGTTGCCCGCCTTCTCCTTGGCCCGTTCCTCGGAAAGGATGCTCCGGAGCTCGGGTACTGTCCACTTGGGGTGAACCGTCATGTTCCTCTGTTGGAGCTCGCTGAGCAGGGCCGCCTTGTTCATCTGAGAAACGCATGGCTGCTTCGTCGCCGCGGGGGACGTGGCCATCTCGAATTGCAAGGGAAGTTCCCGTCACAGGCATCGGGCGCCTAGCGAAAGAAGTCCTTCCGATCCAGAGCACGGGTTGAGCAACATCATGGTCATCGGCACTCCAAACATCAAACACTGGATCCATGTTCTGGCCGGTCTTGCATGACACTCCCTGACACATGCGTACTTTCCCGAGCTGGTGCAGAAGCTCATGTTTCCGGGTTTGATCTGGGGTGTTCCACTTGCCAGGGTTGAAGAGGGTACGCCTCGGGATGACATGTATGCGGTAGAGCGTAGTCGGGGACTCTATCCAAAAGTCGTTGCTTATGTTCGTGGATTTCCACCAAGCCATGAACGACACTCCATTGATGGTTTCACCGGTAAGTAGATTGTGGACCTCGAGTGGGATCTTCTTGGGGTAAAACAACCGGGGCCTGGTAGTGGTCGACGTAGACGAAGACTGACAGGTAGTAGTAGCGGTAGTAGAGGAACCTGTTGGGACTCGAGGCTCATCGATAGGGCTATCGGGTCCCTGCACATTGCTAGAAGCACACACCATATATGCCGCACGATTCAAGTGGATCATGATCTCACCGTCGGACCAAAAGTCAGCTGGCGCCTTTCCGGCCGGCTCACGAGCTGGGATCAAGGGGAGCGCAGGGTGACCGCTTTCTGTCATCTTGAGAGTCGCCTGATTTAGCTGGACTGCCTTGAAGTCGGCTCGATTGAGGGCCACGTCCATGATCATCCCCAGCTTCGCCAACACAGGTCGAGACAGAAGAAGTGGAAGGTCGCCTGTGACGATGGCTACCTTGACCTCTACGACAGCCTGGCCAAGTTTGAAGGTCACAATGCAGGCGCGGTCGGAGTGGAAGACTCTGGAGGCTCCGAACTTGAAGTTGTCGTCGTTGGGCAGTAGCCGGGGTCGCTCGCCGATCCTTTCGAGCCTGCCGATGTACTCGTCGAGCCAGCCATTTCCGGCAACAGACTTGGAGCAGGCTGTATCTGTGATGGCGTCGAACTCTCCAGTGCAGATATCCTCCTCAATGTTCCAGGCGACGTAGACGACATTGCACATGTAGGATGCCTTGGTGTTTGGCCCGGCTCCACCGCTGCCACCATGCTCAGCAGCGTCCTTGAGCCCCTTCCCTTGGTTCAAGGGACAAGCGTCGTCCTTGTGCCAGTGCCCTCGTCGTTTGCACCCCGCACAAAACGATCTAGCTTTCAGTTGTTGAAGCTTAGCAGCAGCGATCTCCTTCATAGCCTGAGGGTCCGTCCCGCGACCGCGCTGGGAGTCGCGGTACTTCTGCTTGGCCGTCTCGTGGGACATATAGGTGGTGAAGAGCTCCTCGGCCATGCCCTCAGTCAAGGGTTCATCTCCAGGTGCATTCTCTGTGCCGCAGTCCTCGCCGTGGAAGTCGTCGTCGAGGTCGTGGTTGCCGGTGTAGTGCACGGACTGCCCCTGCCGACGCTGCCACGGCCTGGTAGTTGAGGTAGTGCCTTCCCAAGGTTTCCTGAGCGCCCTGTCGTGGATGGTCGCCGCCTGTTGTAGGCGACGAAGATCATACACGTTCCCCACACTGGCCAACAAGTTGAGCTCCGAAGGTTCATCCAAGCCTAGCCGGTCGACGAACATCCATGCCAGAGCGATGTCCGGAAGAGTGCAGCCGCACTCCTCCAAGCGGGCCTGTGCCCGATCGAACTCGCCGACGTAGTCCCGGATATTCTGTCCTGGCTTCTTCCGCAATTTGCGGAAGAACTCTGAGAGGCTCCTCCCGACCTGGGTCACCTGAACATCCAGGTACCTTTCACGGATCCACTCGACGAAGTACGCGGATCCTGACGGCCCGCTGAGCTTGTCGATGTCCAAGCGCTCGGCCTCTATCCAGGCCTTGCCGGATAGGTGTTGGTATAACACCAACCCCTGGCGATTGGCAGATATCCTTGTCATCTTCTGCCAAGCTGCAACCTGTCGCAAGTAGGACCTGGCAGTAGATCCCAGATCACTCCCTTCTCCAGCTCCAACGTCGCCAGAGAAGCTGGGAACGAGCATTCGTTCCGAAGGCCCGCGCCCATGATCTTCACCTCGTTCCTCTCCTCTCTCGGAGTCCATCGCCGAACGTGTAGTAGCCGCCGGTGCCGTGGATGTACTTGCGGCCAACATCGCCGATCTCCTGGAGGTCGTGGTAGTAGCCCTCCCGTCGTCGCCGTGCTTCTCTTCCTCGCCGTCCGGGTAGATGTCGCCACCTGAGCCAGTAGACCCCGAAGCCCAGGTAGCATCCCAACTCCAATTACGACCCCACGCGTATCCCCCGCGTGGCTCGTTCTGCTGCATCTTCGCGTCGTCCCAGGAGTGCCATCCGTTCCAGGAGTTTCCCTGCCACTGCCAAGAGGGGTGGTCCCAAGCTCTCGACTGGTTGGATGACAAGTAGTCAGCCCACGGATCAGGCGGCGCACCTCCAGCCGACGGAGGATGCATCGCCTTGTCAAAGGGTCTAGGTAACTCAGCAGAGTCGGGAGCAGCCGCGCCCGAAGCTTGTGCTCCAGGAGGAGCTTGCCAAGAAGTACTCTGGTACATGCTGGTGGGCTGGTCGTCTTGATCGTCGCCAGCCATCGCTCTACAAAGTCAGACTAGTTAGCGGAGACTACACTACCTGGAGCACACCTGCTCCGCTACCAATCTAAAATCACTACCCTTCCCCTGAGCAGCGTGCCTTGCTCTTTTCGCAAAGCACATCGACGCTTGTGCCTTCGGACGGCGACCACGGTACCTGGCGTGCGGATCTTCAGATTCACATTTAGGGGTTTAGGGTTTCGGAGATACGGCTTTGGGACGTCCGATTTGAAAGCCCTAAGTTTGGGACTTGAGGGGACGGGTTTCGGGCCTGGGGGAACGAGATTTTGGGGATTGTGGCAGCGCTTCTTGCGGGAGAGTTGTATACATATATCTATCTATATATATATATATCATTTGAAAAACACAAAAGATGTGTGTGTATATATATATAGTTCTATATATATATATATATATACATATACACATATATTTATATTCAGGAGCTTGAACCCTTTGTTTCGGTTTCAAACAACTCTTGAGACTCTTGGGCCTGACCCTACTCCTTATACTTCGTGATGAAATTCGGCTTCGGGTTTGCCATCTGCGCCTCCCCGGAAACCTTAAACGGATACAGCCCCAACCCTGCTGACCTAAAGCCCCGGGCTCCCTGAACCTGTCACTACCCACACTGTGCCATGAGGCTTGGGACGCGACCGAGCGGGAAGAGAACCATGCCCTGCTAAAGGAGGTCGCCGCGATCCTGAAGAAGTGGCTGGGCACTCTTTAGTTGGTCGGTTTGAGGCTTAGGCTTTCAGGCTTAGGGTTCTGGAATGAGGGTTTAGGATTCTGCCGTTTAGGGTTTGGGCTGTGCTCAAACTCGGGAGTTCAGAGACTCACCGTCTGTTGTCGAAATACTCAAGCTCAGACCGTGAACTTGGGTATACATGTATGCCGGCGGGGAGGTAGGCAGGTAGGCAAGCAAGCAGGTAGGTAGGTACATACGTGTTTTTACATGTGCACGTAAATCCTCTTCATGCATACATGCATACACCCGTGCATACATAAATACATACATATATATACATATATATATATATATATATATACAGGTTTATATACGCGCGCAGATGCCCGGAAGTACATACCCCATCCGACATTGCCTTAAAATGCTATGTAGGGCACAAGGAAGGCCTGGTGCTTCACTCCAATACAGCCTGCTCCTGAGGTTTCAGAGTAGTTCCGCCAGCTTTCCTGGTGTCTTCCATGTCGCCCTTTGGTGCGGTTTGTTCGATCGCTAGGATGATGTAGGAAGAGGGTAGCTCGAAGTCATCTTCTGCTGGGTATCCTTCCTTGGCTTTCCCATCCTATTGTCCCGCTTTGACTTCGTCCACGCTGCTTCCAAAGCCCAGGTATCCCTCCCTGACACTCCGCCTCAAGGGCATCTCGAGCGGCCGCGGCCAGATTCTAGTCGTACCGATGGTAGGGGCTGTGGTGAAGATAACAGTGTTATGCTGTATTGCTGCTATGCATTGTTATGATTGCTATATACTGTGGTAATATTGGCATTATTCTGGTCACCGGTCTAACCTCAATGGTTCCAGTTTGGCTTCGAGATTTCGTGTTTGTTGTCAAGTCAGGGGTGAGTTCAGGCGGCTTGGGGTTGCAGAGTCTTCCGGCAATCGGCCCAGTTACCTGCCGGCCCCCAAGCTTGAAACCTTTGCTTCGAGCGTTCATGGCTTCCTTGTGCAAGTACCCGAAGTATCCACCCCTCTTCTCAAGACTTGAGCTGCAAAGGAAACATAGAGGTAGGGTACGAAGGGTATGGTCATGCAGAGATGAAGCATTCCTCTTGAGTGTATGCACTGGTGACGCAATAGTCACGACTTGAGTTGGCAAGATGTCGGCTTAAGCACAAATCACGATTCGCCATAATGCTGCATTTCAGACCTAAAGAACTTTGTAAAGGCAGCTGGCATCGATAGTCATTGTGCATTGCCGTAAAAAGAGTGAAAGCTTTGCCCTACCTGCGGTCCATGTTTGGCGCCTCGACGGCATAAGACCTTCTGACTGCTTCTGGGTTACAAATTCGAGTTCAAAGACTTTTAGGTTATGGTCGCCCAAAGTACAGAGCGAAGCTCCGCAGAAGCTTCGGGAGCAGCGGCGAGTTCAAGTGGCGCCGCAGGTTCCGCCAATGCTTTGGTTAATGGTGTGTCTCGTCAGGTTTATCAACAACATGTGGCAGATGATGTGGGAACTCAAGAGCTAGGAAATCCTAATCTACATGATCCAGCTCCCCCCAGTGGTCCGCCTGTTGAAGCTCAACCCGCTGTGCAACCTCTAGCGAATCCTCCGCTGCAAGCAGAGCCTTCTTATGAAGATCCGCATCGGAGCGCGAACGTTATAAGTACGGGAGCAAGGCACACAGAGATGATGACACCAACAGCCGAGCAAACGGGACAACCTATGACTCCTGCAGGCTCTACAGTGACAGTTCAAGGATACTACTCTGCTGAGTCGAGGACTACGAACGAGCAGCAGGGTGTGAGATGGATGGCTCGCTTCACTGAGTTTTTGAGGACTACAGCGAACAGAGGAGCCGTGAGTGTTGACCGCATGTTGGATGGTTTGGGGATCCCACCACTTCATCCTGAGACTGTCGAGGCTACACGCTTTGCGCCTTTACCAGGGACGTCAGAGAATCATGCCACGATGGTTGTGTACTCTCCTCCTGAGGAGATCCCAGCGGCTCCGCGACGAGCTGTGGGTCCACGTCCTAGATCTTGGGATGGACCTACTGCCTCGGAGGCTCCCTTGTTTGGTCCAGCTCAACTGGATAGAATGAGGCAGGCTCAATTGGAGTATCCGCATATATATGGACAGACCTCAGAGGGAGGGAGTGAGCATTCATCAAGGTTGCAGGCCGAAGTGCAACGCCAGTTGGAGGAGTACAACACGCGCCATCAGGCCGAGATGCAGAAGATGGCAATGGAAGTCCAGCAGCTGAAGATGGAGAAAGAGCAATGGGAGTTGAGGGCTAAGAGTTTGTTGGATGCAGAAGTCCACCGTTCCAATCAGGAGCGGGGTGCTAATGAACAAGCGGGAAATCCACGTGTAACGCAAGGACTTTTTCAGCAACCTCATAGTGATCCTTTTCCGCAGCTTCGGGGTGATCCTCGCGTTCAGCAGGGGTACTTTCAGCAACCTCTCGGTGATCCTCGTCCACAGCTTCAGGGTGATCCAGGCGTTCAGCAGGGGAACTTTCAGCAACCTCTCGGTGATCCTCGTCCACAGCTTCAGGGTGATCCAGGCGTTCAGCAGGGGAACTTTCAGCAACCTCTCGGTGATCCTCGTCCACAGCTTCAGGGTGATCCAGGCGTTCAGCAGGGGAACTTTCAGCAACCTCTCGGTGATCCTCCAGGTTCTAAGGATGTTGGGGCACAGTCTGCGAATGGTCATAATGTTCAAGATGGGCATGGTGGTCAGAGTGGAATAGGTGGTCCGAGCGTCTACCCGTCCGGAGAGGAGTCGATTCCGAAGGCCAAGAGTGGTGGGAGACCTTCAGCGGAACAATGGTTAGGTAGTGCACCTGGTCATGATCCAATGGCGTTATTGGCTGGAGGAATGGCGCAGTTGCAGGCGGTGATGTTAAAGCAGTTGACCTCAGAGCATGATCGTGCGGGTGAACAAAGCCCGGAGGCGGTTAAGCCGGGGACTACAGCTTTACCTGCGTTACCAGGCGTTTCTCCTTCTACGTCTTCGGTGGACATAATGGACTGGCTGGAGGTGATTGCAGCTCCGATGTCGGATCTTTCTGATGGTTCGGCGGAGTGGTGGCTGCGGGTCAAGGCTGAAGCAGAGAAGTCTTACAGTTTGTGGACAAGCGCGAGCCCTGTCGAGAAGCTTCGGATACAACCCCCACGGGTGGAGGCACTTGAGACGGGACGGTGGAGTCGTGTGAACTCCAGAGCGGCTTCTATGATCCTTCTTGCTCTCCACGAGAATGTGCGTCAGGAGATGGTCTCGAGAAGGTCTACGGGTTCTGTCACCGGCTTAATCTTCAGACTCCTCACAATCTACCAACCAGGTGGCCAGCAGGAGAAAGTGCATATCCTTCAAAGCCTACAGCAACCTAGCCAAGAACAAGATCCTCATAAAGCAGTTGTGGCATTGAGGGCATGGGCTCGGTGGCTGAGGCGATGCAGGGATCTTGGCGTTTCTGCGCCGGATCCGAGTCTGTTGGCCAGAGGACTGACAGCTATGACTAAGCTGGTGCTTGAGCGAGATCATGAAGTGAGCTTTAGAACAAGTTTGGTGCGAAGCAGTCTTTTGGTAGATACGAAGCCGTCATACGATTCGGTTGAGCAGTACTACCACCACCTGTTGGCAGAGTGTGAAGCAATGGCCGTGAGCACCCAGACGTCAAGCACAACAAGTACGGGAACATCCCCGAACAACAAGCCGGAACCGAAGATCAAGCCTATGAAAACGGAGCCAAAGGGCACGCAACCTCAACCACCACAACCGACCACGAGGCCTACGACTTCTGGTTCGGGCACTGAGGAGGAAGGGGATAAGCGCGCACAGGTCCCATGCAGATACTTCGGGAAGTCGTACAAGGGGTGTGCCAGGGGAACGCGATGTCCGTTTTTGCATACCTGGGAGGGGAACGAGAAGGAGAAGTCATCTCGGTGTCACCTATGTGGTGGCAAACATATGTCGAAAGATTGCCCGACCAAGAAGCCGAGTACTCCAACTACGACACCCCCGTCTACTACTCCGGGAACTCCAAAGGCACCGCCGAACAAGGCAGCTCCTCAGACTCCCTCGCAGCCTTCTACGTCAACTTCTACAAAGACGGTTCGCATCGACGATAAGCCCCAAGTTCAGGAAACTTCTACGTCATCGACTACAACGTCAAGTGAGACCGTCCCTGACTTGAAGGAGGTTTTGGCCGATGTGGGAAAGATGCTGAAGGTGATGACGGCGTCCTCTTTGAAACGGTTTACCGTGAAGGATGTGGAAAAGAGTTATGGTCCAAGCATCCGCAGCTTGACTAC